CTGAGCTACCCCACTCCCTTATGTAATGTTACTGGTCTAAAATTAAAAAAAAAAATAAATAAACTCCGTTTTTACAGGTAGCAAAATTTGAAAGGCAGACTATTTTTTTTTTTTTTTTAATGTAAACGTTATAATCAAATAATGCCGATTTTTTCTCACAGGCTCTGGGACTAAGAAGTTTGTAGCGGGATTCCGGACATCAAGAGAACCTAACGGGGCCCTTTTAACTATAGATTTTAGGTCCTGAGGTGGCTTATCTTACTCCATTTGCATTATATTATCAATTTAAGAAGATAAAAATAATAAAAACTATATTGTGAGTTATCATCCTGTCTATACAGTATCTTAATTAGTAGAATTAAATATCCTATAACCTACGATCTTCCATAACATAAACATTTTCACCATTAATAATCACTGGTAGCCTTAGCTTAACGGAAACAAAGCATTTCATATTTTTAATTTTCTCGGTGGAGGGAATTAGCGAACATTTATTTTGGTATACAGTATTTCTCTAGTTCACTAGGTATTTCACCCTCAAGAAAATTCCTTGACCTGGTAGCAGGTATGTTATATGATTTATACATTTATACATTTTTCTCTAGAAGAGCTCTGACGACTTTATTTAAATTCATTATGTGATGAATGTAAAATCATCTGATCTTTAATATTAGGCAGGTTCGTTCTTCTTTTTTGTTTTGCTGCGTGAAACCTCAGTGGACATCAAACTTTCTCTGTTTAGTTTGTTTTCTCATATACATTTCAGAAATACACATACATACAACACACTATATCAGGCAGATATTATGCTTATTGAAATAGTCTTATAGGTCTTAAATGCTGAATTTTCGAATTATCTGCCTCTTAAGTACCTTAAATTTAATTTATGTTAAATCATTAACCGTTTCATAAACATAAACTATGAAAGAATCTGATTATTAAACAGTAAGTCAGTTGGAACCGAGAACAAATGAAGGCACCGAGAACGCTCGAGCAATGTCGATTGCTCCCGAACATGCTTCCCATGCTACATCAAAGGCGCGGACTCCAGTAGTATATGTGCGGCTTTCGCAAATGCTATCTCTACGATTAATTGTTATTTAATTAGGCAGATTGCCGCATTAGATACGAAAATTAAAATTTGTAAAATACCGATGCTAAAATGAAAATATTCCACAAAACGGTCATGTTAGTCCGTGGAACAGACACCCTTTTATCTAATTGTTAACATCCGTCTGAAACTTCGTGAATAGATTCAAATCATCGTAACCCAAAATAATTTTATTTACGAAAACTCTTTGGAAGTGGGGTGTTTTCAAAGTTGGATATCGGCAAACTTGGTCTATTTAATTCGGTACTAAAACTCGTAAATACCAATTTGCTTTCCTGTTGGACTGTAAGATGATTTGATCACAAAATCGAGAAAAAAAGCGGCCTAGAAAAATATTGGGCCGTTTGGTCTTATATAACCTCATTATTTTGACATTTTGGATGTGTAGGACACGCCAAACGGCTCAATTTTTTTTAATGCCACTTTTTTTCTCGATTTTGTGCTCAAATTATCTTAAGATTCAAGTGGATAGCAAATGAGTATTTACGCTTTTTGAATGCCTTATTGAATATAGAAAGTTTGCCGAGCTCCAGATTGAAAACGACCCAATTCAGAAAATTTTCCTAAATAAAATAGTTGTAGGTTACGATGAGATGAACCTGTTTACGAAGTTTCAGGCGGATGTTAATAAATTGATAAAAAAAAGGTCTGTAGCACCGAACGTATGCAACTATCATCACCAGATCCATTTGGACTTGTGGAGTTTTCTGACATACGGGTGGTTGTTTGCACAACCATACCTATTCCTACCGGAGTGGGGAGGTCGAGATTCATTTCGTGGTACTGCTTCGAAATTAATTTTAACTCGCCCAGGCCGGATTCTAACCTGTGTCTATCAAGGTGATATGGAATTGAGCTTTCGGACTCCACAAAATAATCGAATTTATTCCGCATTCAATCCTTACAATCCAAAATCCTTCATAAAATTCTTAAAGCTCCTTATTATATCACAAATAAAATTATCCATAAAACCCTCAACATTCCCTTTGTTTGTTTGTAACCACCCCTAACTCTCTAATTCATAACCTTTCATAAAAAAAAAAAAAAAAAATTCCTTACAACCCTCTCAGACATCTGAAAAGATGAGGGCAGAGGGACCTTCTAAATTAATCTAATCATTGAAGAGTAATGGGTAGCTTACTTTATACCAATATGTAGTTTCTTCACAATATCTTATGATGTTATATATTCTTGTAGCGATTTACTTGTATTTATTTATTCGATTATATATATCAATAAATAAATAAAACATATTGTATGAAATATCATTGCAATATATTATATGTTATACGGATATGAGATTCCTTAAATAATGTAATTGTCTTAAAATAACTCTTGCATTCAGAAGTATAATATTTTATTATAGTTTTGAAGTCGTTAGGGTTTTTTCTCAGTTCCAGAAATCAGATTATTTTTAAGACCTTGTGTCACCGTCAATATTGTCACACCTCTTGTGTATGCTTATCCTTAAATGCAGCTTCTTGTGATTCACCGAAGAAAAATAACTTCATAATAATTGACTGTTATTGTATTCATATCGTCTAATTTCATCTTCATATCAATTCATATTTTTTTTTTTACAAATTGTTAACTTGTTCGAAGCCCATCTATTAAGTTATTCGACAAGTTTTGTGTTTTATTCGAAATTATTTTATATTAGAAATAGAAATAGAAAAACATCTTTATTCTCGGACTAGGTCCCTTAAGAATAACAATATTGTTCAGACCAATTGACAATAAATCTGGCCAGATGATCTATTATAATAAAGAGTATTTAAAATCTAAGTAGCAAAATGTGTATGTACATAATTTTGGAGGATATATTAAGGAAAGCAGATGGGTAAAAGGCTTACAATGTTATAATATTGGTACAAAAAGACAAAAACATACTAATAACTAAATAGAATTGGAAAGAAACGCAAAATAAGTTTTATAGGTAACCAATTTTAGTGATAAAATATAAAAATAAATAAAATAACTGGAGTAAATAAATGATTTATATATGTTCCTTAAGACTTTTAAGTAAAAACACATGTAGATTTTGTGAAAGACTAGACAAGTATTGTGATCTACCTATGACTCAATAGTTTACGGCAGAAAAAAAAAAAAAAAAAAAATATATATATATATATATATATATATATATATATATATATATATAATGAAATACTTTTTACAGGATGTTCCGTCAGTGAAGGGAAATATTTAAATAGGTGCCAATAGACCTTTAGACCTACAAAAAAGTTTATTTAAGTCATGATCCTTCAGATATATTATTCTCGAATTGAAACCTAGCTTTGCCGCTTGTAAGAATCCTCCATAAGAACTAGCACAAAAAGAACCATTAAAAGGAAAGAAATCAAAACTTTTTCTAAAAGTTACGAAAACGGCACGTTAGAACCAATCATAGACGCACACTTCGGAAGAAGGCCGAGGGGGCGATCATAATTATATCGATACACCATAAATATAATTATTTTGAAACAAACAACGTAATACTAAATATTTAAAAATAAATTGATTTATAGTTGTCGATTATTTTTTTTTTTTCATTCAGATACATTTGAGAATATCTGAACAAAAGAATATATTACATATTTGTACACATTAAACGTGGGAGGGAAGAGAGACTCTCCACAACTTAGTATATTTCTAGAACTTTTTTTAGCTAAAAATGAATAATGTTAAAAATTAAACAATATTTTAGATGTCTTAGTTTGTACAATCTCAAAATAAAAACACAACGTTTTCATAGGCTGACTGTTTGTGTACAAATTTGATAAAAAAAATTCTGTATAAAATATATTACCAATAAAAGTATGACATCCACTTACCCTTAAGGAATAAGCCATTAAGGTACGAAAAACCTTCATTCTTGTGAATTATTTGTTGTTAATTTAGTTTTTTGTGTTTTACTTTATTATTCGCATTTTTGACTCCCATAGTTTATTTAATAACCAATGACTTTAAAACTAATGATTATTCGTGTTTTAGTATAATCATAGAAACCACAAGTGGATATACATACTATATATGTAATTTAATATATATGTAATTTGATTAATTAAACATTTTGGGGGGTTGGAAAAAAAAAAAAAAGTTTTAGTATATCATATAAATATAACGCATATTTTCTTACCCGTTAAAATGACAACAAATGCATCATTGTGACCTAAAGAAGCATATTTAACTTTATGTATCACTGTTTCTTATAAAATTTGTAAATTTTTTTCTGTTTTAATTAAGCTTATTTTGTTGGTGGAATCTACAGTGAAACATATTTTATATTGATCTGAAAAAAAAAATCATATTAATGTATTTATCTTTTCTTCTTATATTGTCCTCATGTATTATATTATCTTTTATATTGTACCGTTTATTTACAAACTAACTACAATTAATATTGATTGGGCCAGATTCCATGGTTACGCTGTTTATAAGTCAATAAATGAATAAATAGAAATTTAGTTTTCGTCATATTATACTCTCGCTCCTTCAATATTTTAATTGAAAAATCGATCGCTCTCTTCGACCTCCTCCCCGACGTTTGCGCCTATGCCACATAGTCCACTTTAAATATATTCCGACTAAATAATTTTTTTGTTGGTGCTTTATTCATCAAGTGGCTTGTCGAAACACAAGTATATCTAAATATCTTGGCATAGAAGTACTGGCCGGAATAGCGTAATACTTTGATCATATATATACCATTAAATATTATAGCATTATATTTATATATGATAAGATATATTATGTATGCAACTGATAAGCGATACTTGACGACGCAGGAGGGGCGGTAGGGGCCCGGCCGTGGAGGGGGTAGCGCCGGGCCCCAGTCGGCACCCAGCCAGCTTCGCGGAGAGTAGGCCGAGTGTTATCACGTCCAGCTATGAGTTCTTCTTCTTCGCAACCGGAGTCATCCGGAGCTGCTTCCAGGCGGCCCAAGAAGTGTTCCTTGGACGAAAACCATTGCGTCAACCTGGCGGACATCCTCATGTCCTTCTCGGCACCCATTTCGGAGGAGCACGCCTGGGCCCTTTGCTACCAGTGCGCCAAGTGTTTCCGAAACGCCCTCAAGACTGACCCTTCGCGGTGCAAGAACGTGATGGAGCTGTCGGATGTACTTATTCACAGGGATGGACACGTCCACTCGAATACCATCTTCGAAGGTGGAGGAAAGGAAGATTATGGTGAGTGGACGCCGGCATTGTATATAGATAATATTGTTAGTTAACTGTCACTAATGCTTCTTCATAGGTTGCTAAGAAAAACTTTCAGAGCTTCATTCTTTTGAAAATTGAAAAGGAATTATTTTCATACAAATTTGAAAACATAACTTCCGCGTATGTTCAATTTTTGAAAAGTGAAAACTAATTATATTTTCATATTAATCTAACTTTTATATTGAGATTTGATATATTTATTATTATTTATTTTTTATAATAATCATATGAATTAATAATATTTATAGAAATGTTTGATTCTTTGAAAAATTAAATATAGAACGTGGGATAAGTTAATATTGTAATTCAAGATAATAAAACAATACAAACAACAAATTGAGGTAATTTAATTTTGTTATTTCTTAAACATTTTTCCACCAATTGACTCAAAAACGGTCTCAGAATATATCGTGTTTACTCAACCGTTGAATACTATTTAAGTAATTTTCTTGAATCAATTTCAATAATATAAAAATAATGAAAAAACTATCTGTTAAAAAAAATAATACGATGAATTTGGATATTTTAAATTTTAGAAACGAATAAATTTTTGAAAATTAAAATAAATTTGCCCAAATCGTAAGTATTTAAAAATAAATTAAAATTCATTATTAATGTTATATTATAAATAGGTAGTATTTAGTTGAAGGAGCATTGTGTTTATCAATCGTAAGAAATTATTAATTTCGAAGTTACTACCTAAATAGTTTTCTGATTCATGAATTAGAAATTCTGTTTTAGGGATGTATATCAATTAAAATGTCTTACTTTGAATCTTAAAACTGTTTTTAATATAAAACGCAAATAAGGGATGGCGATTTAATTTAAGAACGTGAAAATTAAAATGAAATAAGACAATTGAATATATTAATTATATATATATATATATATATATATATATTGTTATTAATGAGAAATATTAGGTCAGTAGTGATACTTTGACTCATCACTCCCCAACCGGCTTTTTACATCATGTGTACTCTATCTGTATTGCCCAATGCCGCCCGACCACACCAGTTTGATAAAAAAATTATTTTTAGCATATACCATTTATAGTGTGAAATAAATCTGATCAATTTTAACAAAATTTAAATAATACACTTCATGTTTCTTGGCTGAGGCGTCTAATGTAGATCAAGTTCGTTTTCATCTGTCGCGTACTTAAAGCTGCCTGATAAATAATTTATAATATTGTATAATAATAAATAATTCATCGGTCTGATAAATTAAATTATTGCAATTAATTTATTTTATTATTTTCCAAAATATTAAATGAGTATTATTATTTAGATTGAACAGATATGGTTTTATTCAGCACTTAATAACATTTTCTCAACTAGAAGTTTTTGGTAGTCACTCAAGAAATTAAATATTCTAGTTTCAACTCACTTATTATTTTAATATTTAATTTCACTTAAAGGCTCTTCAATCCAAATATTTTATGCTTACAAAATATTGTTCTGTTATCATCTTGAATTTTTAATGACATCTCGTTCTCTTAAACTACCGAATTGTTTACGATAGAACGGAAGGGTTTACGTAGTGTTTAGTTCAGAAAGCTGATATTTTTGAGTAACTTCCTTCGTGGATTTGAATTTTGTCAAAGATATGGCGAAGATTGGAGTATATGAAAGACAGAAAAAAACAAGTTCAAATGAAGAGACTTGTGCAGTTTTTTTATTCAGATAAATAATTTAGTAGTTTTTGCTTGAATCTCTAACGATGTATTTGTTTTAAAAAGTTGAAATTATTCACATTTTTATTTTTTCATCATTCCTTATCTATTAATCACTTTATTTATTTCATGTTTTGCGTGTTGTATATTCTTTTCATTACTTCTATATACCTTACAACAATGGAATAGGAATATTGCTCTCTCTTTCAGTGTCTTCATTACTTACCACCCCATTGATTACAGAACGGTCTAAATTATGCAAAGGTACTTCCTCATTTCCAAATTGCAATTTTCATTGGTATCGATTTCACTTCTAATTAAATACTTGAATATAATTTTCAAACATTGTTGTATACATTATAATTGAGTAGCATTAGATGAAATGTTATTATATATATAATTTCGCGTCAGATTTCTTATTTACAATTTCTTCAGTTTCTTCCAAAACTTGATTTATTTCTTATCGAAGAATTTTTATGAAACATTTCAATCAAACTTTTACTTATGTACTCGTAGATGCTCAATAATAATTTTCGTAATGTTTTTAAAAATAATTTTCCCAAAGTTGACCTATTAAAGTTCGATAGAATATCCCTTTGATGATATATCATTATTAATTAATAACTCATTTGTCACTTTTTGTGTGTTTTTGAAGATAGCACGTAAATACATAAATATAAAGATATTAATATACAGATAATCTTTATTAATGTAATGGACATCAGTTTCATCGGGCTTATTGGCTATAAGTTAGTGTATTGTTGGTAGAGCTTAAAGGGGCGAAGTCTCCTTACTTAAACATTGTATTTTTGTCTCATGTTTTCATTGGTTTTGGCATTAAAACGGTATTAAATACGTCCTATTAAATATTATTATTATTTTGATTTCGCTAAAATGTCGATTTTTTTCGATTTTTGAATATTTTGTCATTAGTTGTATTTTTATAATGGGAGTTTAGAAATGGTATTTAATTTATTTATCTAGTTGCTATCTAATTTAGAGTCAATGCTACTAATATATTTTTTTTTATTGTCTTCATTAGTACGATTCCTCATATTTCTTTTTAATCTGAGTGGAACATAATTACTATAGTTTTCAAAATTTGCTTTTAATAACGACGGAATTTTTTATTCTCATCGTAAACAATAAATAACATTATTGTACACTCAAGGTAAGACTAGCTTGTGAATCACCTTGTTCAACATGTCATTGACTCATCATATCACTCGATGAAAGCTGATAAGTGCGTGTATATTGTATATATATGCCTTTATATATAATAATAATTATATATTATGTATAACAATAAATGTTTATAATAATTTAATTTTTAATAACTATAAAGTTATTTTTTTTATCGTATTTTATAATCGTAAACTATATTATTTTTTTTCTAACAATAAAACCTCGCCCACTTTAAAAATGCCAACATCCTTATTGATACCAAATTATCATAAAATTGTCGTTTGATTTTTTTTTTTTTTATATTTCTAATGTTAAAGAAAAAAAAAACAATTACCTTAAAATGAAATTTGTTTGATCTATTTAAGTCATATAGATTTTGAAATGTCGACAAAAACGTAAGTGCTTACTTTTAATGAAATTGGCCATAGAACCGATGAAAAATGACTGCTGTTTATTAACGATCCAAAAATAAAAAAACAAAATCGCCTCTTTTTATCTCTAGAAACTTGAAGTAAGCAAAATATTAAAAAAAAAATTAAAATTTGTCAAGCGATTAAACATCTTCATGTGGATTGAGCATTAAGCACACGAGTACATATTCTCATCTGTACATTTTAAAAAATAGTTTAAATTCTGATTATAAAATAAAACTATAAGTATTATTGGATTACTTTAATACTGGTAATTTTATCAGGTGGCGCATGTATGATATGTATTTTCTTATGAGCGAGTGGAAGGATAAAGATAACAAATAATGTTTATTATCTTAGCTCCGACATTAAATTATTAAGGCGCTGGTATTTATTTTGGGAATCTTTAAAATAAAAAAATAAAATTATAAGTCAATAAACGGTCTTTGAATCGTTTATTCCCGAAATGACACGTGTATCATTCCCGGTGTTGGGTTAAACTGTTTTTTGTTTTGTTTTTATATATCGATCGTAGATACTGAATGATTCAAAAATGATTAAACCTTCTAGATGAAACACATTCCGCAAAAATTGAAAACAATTTCTTTATTGGTGGGTGATCTATATCAAATATTTGAACAAAATTATCCTTATTGATATATATATATAAGTTATAAAAAAATGGTTAGCACCTTGAAACTAAATCTTAGATGCCCTACTAATCCCTGAAAACATCTTTTAATGCAAATTAAAAAAAAAAAACTTTTTCAGTAATCTACTCCTTGGAAAAATCAAATCAATTCGAGCAAGAAAAGAAATTTTTAACTCCCTCCTCCCAAAAAATATGAATTTATATGTTTCAATTCTTTATTTCAGAGGCAATTCTCAAACTTTTGAATCAATTATCCTTCTATTATAAGTAAAGAAACATATGAGAAAAAGGTTGAAATATACTGTAGAAACAACGCAAATTGACAATTTTTAATATATTTTTTTAAATATTGAATGGTATTTACACTGGTAAAAATAGCATAAATAGTAAAAAATATTGATTATTAACACTATAGATTGCTAAAATATGTTAAGTAATCTGTATCAACCTCTGGATCCAATACTTATCTCGTTTTCTTAGTCATTTTTTTTTTTTATGGTTTATTAAAAGAAGGTTGTGAAGAAGATTTGAAAAAAGGTACTGTTATAATTTATATCAGAAGCGAAAAAAATGGATATAAAAAATCCAGATGATTCCTCAATCTATTAAATTTTGTAGGGATATATTATTTTATTTTTATTTTTTTACTTTTTCCGTTTCAATATTTTTTTTCTTTTGATTAATATTCCATTCCCTTTATTGGTATAGTTACACAATGTCTTTGTTTATATATTTTTAATGATTACTTAAAATAATTAAAGTTAAAAAATTGTCATAATACTGTCCTCATGAAATTTTTTTTTCCGGAAAAAATATGATGCAATAATACTATCAAAATAATCTTGTTCATGCCAAATGGTTTATCCTACCCTCAATCCTTGCTTCTTGTTAATTCTTAAATCTGGATGGAATTAATCAGTACGTCAGACAGAATATTGCTATATCCTAGAGCTTAGTTCTTTCTTATTCAAGTATTTTATTTTTTATTCTTTTCCGTCTCCCGTTTTGACTAAATCGAAATTTTATGTTATTTCCTTTAGGTTAACTTTTCAATTGTTGAAGTATAGTTGTTACAATCTATAATCCTCT